AGGTAAGTGAATACCCCACAAAAATGCATCACAACTCCACAAGTCCCAACAACAGACCAACCATGACACCAAGGCAAGTCCCGAAGAGGACAAACATGTCATAGTAGTGACTAGTAAAGGGCCCAGTTCATCATAAAATTGTTAAGACCACCACTAGATAACAAAGGAGGAATAGACGAAGGCTGAGTAGCCTCTATGCTTGAAACTGTTACATGGGAATTCATATTAAATTTTTTTGTATTATATTTGTAGGAAAAAACAAAGAACAAATTCAACGAAATATATCTCTGGATAACAAAATAAAGAATTCACAATTATTAGAAAGCGAAAACTAAGAAAATGTAAATCACAAAACATTAGTCTGAATGCTCATGCTTTGTCAAGAAAAATTGGTTTTATTGTCTGCAATACAGTACCTGCATAGAGAGAGTGTGAGAGTCGGTATAAAGTTTTGCAAATTAGATATTGCCGAGGGCAATCGAATGGAATATATAAAGACTGGAGCAAGCGAACACAACATTAGATGGAAAAGATGAAGATCAAGAATAGCTATTAGTGTCAGCAGGGGTATGTATGTTTTGGAACTTGGCCTTTCTGTTGGTTATAAATGATATAACACATCAGAATGAATTAATGACTATTTCTGAAAAAGAGGATGTGACAAGTGGGCATGGCAAGTGAGTCTGATTTTCTAATTTATAACTCCATAAATAAATAAGATTGAAGTTATATGAATTATGATTTGCCTTAGTCATATCTGTATTATAATGAGTAATGTACGTTGAATTCTAGACTTTTCAGAGGGAAGACCTAGAGAAAAAATATCACAATTCTCATAGTATGGGAAATTGATGATTTTTAAAAAATATTTCCTTATAAAATTAAGAACTTAAAATTTTTACAGTATTAAAATTTCACTTATTAGCTATGTTTGATGCCAAGTTTATTTGTATACAATCATAATAAAGTAGTTTAATTAAATTTAGAATGTAACTCGAAAAGAAAAAAAGTCATAACATGTGCACTTTGACCTACCTGTAGTGAGAGGGTTAAAAGGATAAGTTTAGTGACAACAACTATCATGCACTGCCAGCTACCTTATCCAATAGGTTCAGAGTACTACACCAGAAGGAAGTATCCAAAGTAAATTACTAAAGCAGGATGCAAAGAAAACCTTCCTTAAGCTTTCTAAGATTTGGAAAGGTTTGCTCAATTACCTTACGTGGATGAACCAAATGAAATGATAAATTCATTCGCACATTGCAAATTTTTAAATGCCATAACAGACACGAATCTGAGAATTGGGCTGAATCAAAGTAGGTGTACAACTTTAAAGAAAGCTCTCCAGATGACAGCAAAACATGAAACCATCAGTGGCAGATAAACAATAAGGCACTATGATGATGTTACATGATCTTCAGATCAAGTAGTTCTGAAACGTCAATGCTCCCTGAAAATATTCTAAAATCACTAAAATGATCAGTTAGACTACTAGTTGCACAATATAGAGGAAATAAATCCCTAAACAATATGGATATATTGCTAGGGATTAGAGATGAAAGCCTGTATTGAATAAAAACTCCATCAAAGGATGTTAGAAATAGGAACGTGTTCTAAGTATGTGAAACACACACATTAAGGCCAAGACTGTGAGGAATCAACAATTGTTAATTACATTGAGGATGCAATACCCTAAGGAACAACAATGAGCCAATCAGATATAAAAAAAACAGGAATTAGCTTACAGAGTGAAGACATTCAGCTGAGAGTGCTCCATTTGCCTCTCGTGAGACAAGAGGTTCATTATTTTCACAAGTCCACAAGTTTATTGATTGGAAGCCTTGCAGCATGTTAATCAATATTGGTTTAAAATATACAACTGTTAAATCTGATTTGGTAATGAAAGATGGGACTTCAAAAACTCTCCTACGATATGCTTTATCTTGATCAAAATGGTTTTCAGCATTGGATCTGAAAAGTTGATATTGGTAAGTGCAAGATGGCAAGGAAAGTAAGGATAAGACAGCCAATACTGCATAAAATGGATTGTGGAAACTATTACCATTTGATTTATGTAATGCACTGCTACATTTTAACAAATAATGGAGTGCATTCTCTCTGAACTACCCTGGAACATCATACTAATATACTTGGATGAGATAATTAGACATGGAATTACCTTTGATGATGTTTATATTGCATTAAGGAAATTCTTGATCAGTTGAGGAAAGAGAATCTTAAGCTGAATTTCAAGAATTGTGTGAATTGTTTCATCAACAAGAAAGTTTTCCTGAGCTACACAGACAGCTAATTTGGCTAATACCATGGAACTTGTGCAAGGTAAGAGGATTTCTTGAACTATGATCTTTCTATTGTCTTTTTCTAAAATCATTCTCATACAGCACTGAAGTTGCTGGCTAACTTGTACAATCCTGAAGGCAAAACAGCAAGGTAGTTTCAGAATCTATTAGGACCATAACTTTAACATCATGCATCACTATGGATGGAAGCATTGGTGCATTATTCCAAAGATCCTGTGTTAATGAAGATTGAAAACACCATGAGAAAAAGAGAAGCATGAGATAGTAGAGTTATACAACCTAAAGTATAACAGTGTGTAGTCTAAAATGAGACAACCACAGGTGATGATGAAGAACTAATATGGTAAAATACTTAACTGAAAGATGCTCACAAAGATATGAGCTTGAAACCAATTATTTACTGGATCAAGAATAATACAGAAAAACCCTCTTGGCAAACAGTCTCTCCATATGGCCCAAAGATAAAGAGGCATTGGACACAGTGAGATTCATTATGTTTACAACAGGGCTTATTAGAAATTGGATGGTACCAGTTTATAGAAACAATAATTACAGCTGGTATTTCCACAGTCTCCACATTAAGGAGCACTCAGTTATCTCTACAAATTTCCCGAAGAACTGGACACTTAGGTGTTAAAAAGACACTGGTGAGAATCCAAGTTATACATTATGTAACCTCTGCTGTGAGCAAAAAAGTCCATGAAAGAAAAAGCATGGGCAGCTACAGCAGTATTGTATCAAAAAACACTACTTGTTCATGTTGCTGTCAACATGCTTGGCTCTTTGCCAAGATTTAACAGTGGGAATAAATACTTCTTTGTTGTGATAGCCTATTCCTCCAAACAGTCTGAAGTACATGCTGTTCTTAACAAGGAAGTAAGAACTATATCTCACCAATCAATTTGTTTTCAGATTTGTGGTACCTATGGAACTTCACCCAGATCAAGTATGGAACCTTGAATCTGCTTTGCTTGCAGAAATTTGTCAGAACCTTGGAATCAAGAATACCAGGACAACTGTCTTTCATTCATTTTCTCATGGCATGGTGGAGAGATACAACTGTACACTTTTATATCAATTAGCCATTTACTTGGAAGTACATCAGAAAATGTGAGATCAAGATATTCCACTGCTTCTTATGAGTTATCAATTAGCAGTACATTACAATACAGGCAACACTCCATCACCACTGATTTTTGGGAGAGAGAACTTTAGGTGCCACTGGACCTTATATACTCACACCAGAAGAATAGTCACTCAACAGTCCCACAAAGAATATGTTGAAATTTATAACCTCTAGAACAACAGGTTCAAAACTATATATTAGCACAAACCAACATTTCCTACTCTGTATTGTTATTTCAGAATATATATACCTGACTTTTACAAAATAATTTTAATAGGCATTCTAATTCATAGAGCTAAACTTACTAGCTCTTACTGTAATCTTCATGATAAAGTAATCAATGTCAAACAAACTTGATTAAAAAATGAGCTCCCCCCAGCATTCATCAAGAAAAATATCTTTGAATAACTTAATAAAGTTTACACTCCCAAGATTTCCCATTTCAATATTCCCAAATGTTCTATCAACTTGGTGTTACCCTTCATTGGTTCTCATGGCATCAAACTAGAAGGAAAAATCAAGAACATTTTAAAATTAACTTATTCCCAAGTTAGCTTAAGAGTGATTTTCAAACCAAACAAATAAATATGTATTTTTTTTCCTTTTCAAAGACAAAATACCTCCTTCAAAAAATGTCACTTGTGGTGTATCAATACACATGTTCATGCTCTTGGCATGGCTTCTTTGGTTCAACAATACAAACCCTAGCTACCAGAATCAAGGAACATGCTCAAAATAGCCTTTCAGACAACTCTGAAATTTACAAACATCTAAACCAAAACTGTAGTAAAAAGCCAAACATTGAACACTTTGAAATACTAGACTCAGCAAAAGATGAATGGATAAGAAAGAAAAAACATTACATCCCAAACTATGATCAACTTATCATGCTTGAAATGGGCAAAAGTTAGAAATTTTGAAACCCTTGTGAAATAATTAGATACCTGTATCAACTGGATCTAAATATGTGATCAATGGTAAGCAGTAATAAGTTTCCCATTAAAAAAAAGGAAACATGTTCTACACTTTACCTGTAACATTGTTTCTTTTACTTTAATGTGTATGATACTAAAAAATATTTTAAAGTGCAAATTTATTTAAAAAACCTTAATGGTCTCTACCCACTATTAAATATATTATTTAACAACAACAATGAGAAAAACTAGTAAATTGTTGTTATATAAAAGTTCCCATATTCTTAAGAACAGATACAATGTTTAAACAATTCTCGGAAGAAAAATATATAAATCTGCAAAAAATTAGATTTTTTTCAGGTATTCTGGTTACGGATATAGTTGTAACATGTGCCTTGTTTGAACACTTTTATGAAAGCTTATATATGAATGTATTAAACAGCATAAGCAGTCGCTAAAATAGTATAATTAATCCTTGAAAATGTGTGACATAATTCATTACACATTGTATTACGAGCCAACACTATGTACATAAAATACTTTAAAACTAAATTTTTTGTCATACAATGGAAAAACACTTTTGTTAAGAGATAATTTGAATTTTCAGTTTTGACTTGAAATAGAAAAATATATCCTCACTTGGATGAATCTGAGCATTCATTGCTTTTTGCAGGGCATTAGCTGCAGCTGCTGCTGCAGCAACACCTTCTGGAGTCTTGAGATCACCATCTAGCAGAACCATTTGATGTTGGTGAGATAGATCTAGCTGATTCTGTTCACAAAAAAAAATACTAAATAAAAAACCCCAGAAATACTAATTGGGGTCCAAATAGATCCTATCACCTTTCTTTATATATATTATTTATGCACCAAGGGATTTGTGGGTCCATGACATTGTTGATTACAAAGGAAAATATCAATAATAATGAAATTAATTCACTAATTATTTCTGGAGTCTTCTATGTATTTTAAACAGAAAATGAGTGATTTCACCCAATTTGTATGGTCAGTTCTTTATATTATAGTTGTAACCAGTAAAAACACAAAACTGCTTGATATGGTGTAACATGTGAACACTGCTGGCAGTGAACAGTATAAATACAGTCTGTAGTTTAAAGATTAGAAAAACATAAATAAAAACATTTTAAAGACAAAAATTTTAATGTAAAAGTTTTAAAAATTAATTAAGCATGTTGAAATTAATAACTTTTTTCTTTTATAAAGTCCTGAAGACAAACAATGTAACAAAACATTAAAGAGAAGGTTATGTGAAAGTTAAAGTGACACTCAAGATGCTCATCAAATTACTGCATATGTAACAAAATGAAAGGAACTTCAGGAGGGTGATATCATGGGATACATTATGTTTTATTCTACCACATACAACACAACTAGCTCTTTTGTGTGTAAACACTTTTTAAGGCAGTTTTAAATACACTTACAAGATGTCATTGCTGCAATCATACCTTATTGCCTTTTTGGAGAGGGATGAAGGCCTCCCCTGAATACTGAAAATCTCATAGAAGGTATCACTTAGTTTTGGTGGGAAAGTGAATCAGGTAAATCTCCCACTATATGAGGACATAGTAAAAAAGGACTTGGACAATTCCCTCACCTGAGTTACTACTCTTGACTGGCAACATAACATTTGATACCGAGAGTAAGTAAGGTAGCATTTGATGTTCAAAAACATTTGAACAAAGAGTGAAAAATGTATGAAATATAGTTGTCAACAAGTTGTGGTGCAGATTCAACCTCACAGAAATCTGACTAGTCCAAAGACTGAATTCAAAGCTTGAAGGCAAGAGCCCCATGAAAACTTTGCCACTGATGTAATATGTATGAGCTAAGCAGTTGCAACGGAAGGTACTCCTGAAAATGTCTCCAGGTGATTTTAATGAGATATTTATTGATAAGTTTAACAAGCAGCTGTCAAGTGAAACCATGTGGCATCATATGGGTCTCAGGTCCATATGTTGAATTTTGCACAAAGCTACTTCAGAGGTATCTGAGCTAGTCATCCCTAATTTAGAAGTGATAGAAAAAAGGGAAAGCAGCTAGTCAACATCACCCACCACCAACTCTTGGGCTGCTCTTTACCAATGAAAATTGGAATTGACAGTTACATTATAATGTCTCCACAATTGAAATGCTGAGCATGTTCAGTAAATGGATTCCAACCTGTGACCTGTAGATTGTAAGTCGAGTACCCTAACCACCAGATCATGCTGGACCCCATTGGTTTCAGGAATATCTCAACTCTCTGTCAGAGGCAGTTTCTGTGGTAACATGGTTTGAAGTGATCATGTCAAACCATATGCTGAAGTAAATGAAAAACAGTGACACTGTTCAAAAACAGCATCCAGTGTCTGTGCTGGTCTCCAAAACTTGAAAAGTTTTGATCACCACATCTATTAGCTCCACTACAGCAGATGCTGCAAGGTGTCAAAGTAGAGCCACAAATGACTCCAGATGGAACATAAGGGCTTCAAAAACAGAGTCCCTAACACAGCCCCTTCTTCAGTTGAGATTAATTTATCACAAATTATAGGAATGTCCATATTGGATGCAAATATAATCCATACCAACAATGCAACAGATACATTAGAGTCACTTGCAAAATATGCCTGCAACTGCAGCTAGTTCTAACTAGTGAAGCCTGAGTTGTATATGGCCACCAGCTTGGGTGGTCATAGCAGTCAGCTTGCACCCACTGTCATAGTAGATGGTTCAGAGAACCAGGAACTTACCATCATATGGTATGTTCTGATAATGACACATGGATACAAGGTTGAGTTTCCAGTAAATTATGGACACTCAATCTGCCAGAATCTTACTCCAATATTCCATATATCAAGTACATCAAGGAAAGCCACTACTTCACCCAATTATCACTCACCACCTTTTCCATGAATCATCTCAAAAGGTATCACTTAGATGAAAAGGCAGTATCAATATCCATAATCAGTGGAAGAGAGCATAAGTGATGCATACCAGCTCCACAAGATGCCATGCCCCAGGAGCATATTCCTCAAGTTACAGCACCACTTCAATTCTAAGATGTGCCACAAAAAGGCAAATAAGGAAGCTTTTATCACTGCAGTAGCTCCAACTATTCTGAACAATACCATTTCACCAGCAGTGGACTTCAAGAAATTCCCATTCCACTGTGCCAATGAAATCCATTCCTTCCAGACTCAGAAAGGCTGCAATTGACAAGTGACTATGCCATAAACAAGTCCTGATGATGGGATGGACAGAAAAATAGGCAAATGTTAGAAGAAATCCAGCATCTCCAGAGGGAGGTACTGTACTGACTAGAGGCACAGTGTGAACAGTATGTGTGAATCAACATAAATATTCAATGTATTTTATCTTTACTTCTATTATTGTAAGTTTCATTTGTACTCTAATTATTCAGTTTCAAGATATTACTTAATTTATTCTTACTTAGTTCATCATAATTGTGCTCCATTCTGATTTGAGTTTTCCCATACTAATTCTTTATTATTTTATATTATAATCATTTATTTTTTGCTTTACTAATATTTCCTTTTAATGTTGTAACGAAGTATTTTTTACTATAGATTTATCCATGAATATATATTATTTATATTAGTCCAAGTGCTAAATGATTTTCACATTAAGATTAAAAATGATTTTCTTTGTCTTCAAAATTGCAAATTGTATAATCTCCAAAACATACTAAATAAATTTCAAATGTATTTTCCAGTAAAACTTTATATTTTATCTGTTATTTTCTCTTCCTTAACTTTATACAAGGTTGGTCAATTTCACTGACCTCATAACTACCAAAACAAAAAATCAAACTAAAATCTAAATTACCTTTTTTTTATTTCTAGAATGATTCAAAGTGTAATATGAAACTATGTTTGTTTATCCTAAATAGCTTTACACTCATAACAATATACATCTATTTATATCTAAAGTTTATTGTTTTATTGCCCTTTGAACCTTGGCTAATTACTATTCCTGCCATTATAAATTGTAAATCATTTGGTGAACTTGCAGCTCATGTTACACTATCAAATTAGATAACGCACACGACCTGCTCACCAGCATAACTCGTAAAACAATTTTATTATATCATTATTATTTATTTCACCAAATCTAACCTTAACTAACCCAAAGAGATACCTATTTTTACGTTTTAATTACTTTTATAATAATAAATAAAGAATACACATGAAAAACAAGAAAAAGTACTTGCCTGAGTCTTCTTTTTTTTGCTGTTGACTGTCGATGACACTTAATACTTTTTTTTATACTAATGATGATACTGCACTAAGTTTCTTATTTAATTAAATAATGCACCAAAGAACACACAGAAATAATATGCAGATAATGTCCCATAACTATTACAGTTGTTTTGGCTTTCTAACTATACAACAAAAACTATTACAAATTAATCTAAGCTCGTCAATGTGTTTCCCGAGGAAATCAAGGTTGAACTGAAAGAAATATTGAGAATCCTATTTACAGAAAACAATGTATTATAATACTTCATTTGATAGATGAAAATCTTGGCTTTCTATTGGTTATAAGTAACTTAGTATTGAACACCAGCGAGAGAGCTGTTGACAATTTATGAAAGAAAGAATGTGACAGGTAGGCACAGCAAGAGGGATTTTGGTTGTCTATTTCATGGCTCTGTAACAAAATAAGATTGAAAACTATGAAATTATGCTTTGCCTTAGTGATCATAATATTATAACAAGTAATTTACATTTTATTTCGTACTTCTTGTAGGGGTGGTAAATAAATTAAAGAGGGGATTGTCTAGTAAGCAAATGTCACAATTATCACACTAGGGTAAATTCTATTTTTTTTTTAAATATTGCCTTACAAAATTAAGCACTTAAAACTTAAATAAACTATTAAAATATGGGTTTTCAGCAACATTTTTATGCTGTATTTATTGATATAACATGAAGAGTAAGTAGTTTAATTAAATTTTGAAAGTAACTAAAACTAACACGCACAAAAAAAATGTCTATGGAGAGAGGGTTAAACTCACTTTTTAATCTTGTTTTACACCATGATTCTTGATTTCTGAATTTGGTTTGCTTTATAATTTGATTTAAATTTTGTATCCAATTTTTAACTTGTATTCAGTAATACTATATATTTTGTGACTTTTATTTAATTTCAGCTTCATTTAAACTTAATTCTGTATCCAGTTTATTTAGCTTATTATTTTCTTTCATCCTGTATTTATCATTAAAAACATGGCTATCTCTGCATTTTCTATTTTTATTTTGCTTTTCTTCAGTTCATGTGATTTAGTTTTTTTCTGTCTTAACTTTGTACCATATTCTGTTCAGTTTAATTTATGACTTGATTCTATAATTTCAAATTTATTACTATTTTATTTTGTAACTTTAATTTTTGTAAATTATATTTAATATTACTCAGTTTTTGTATTTAAATGTGATGAAATGATGCTCCTTTGGTGTTTGATTTACACTATAGAGGCATGTATGATCAAGTATATCTAGATTATAGCTGCTTACTGATGGGTATGCTATCCAAATCAAGATGAAATAAGTTAAACGCTGGTACAACTTTCCATTTTAAAATTCAATACATAAACCACATCTCACTAACAGATCACAAAAAAAACCATTTAAACACAACAGCAATATCCTAATACTTTATAAGCTAGTTGTACAATACATAAAATCTTTGCCCTTGAGATTCAGTATTATTCTTTATTACTGGAAGCTGTGGTGCACATTTTTCATCTCGCGT